AGGGTGAATACTAGAGTAAAGGATTTTCAAGTCACATCTGGAAATGGCGTCGGAAACAAGGAATGATTTACATCTTACTTCGACGGGAATCGGTCATCAAATTCGGTCTGGTCACACTTTCCCCCCTTCAGGGTTCATGGTAAGACTTAAATTTACATATATTTTCCATCTTAGAATCTAAAATGTTGTAATTCGAGGATTTTAATCATTGTTCTGTTGAGAAATCTGATGTSTTTTAGCGATTCGGGAACGCTTTCTGATGACAAACCAAATAATGTAATGTTTACATAGCGTTCCAGAACTCCAGTCGATAAAATACATCCCTTGGTAACAGTAGTTTCTTTTGTGTGATATGTATTACGATCTTAACTGAGGTCATTGTTTTGCTGTGGGAACATGAATGAGTTTTGCTATAAAATTGAGCTATATTCAGGACGTTGCAATATACTAGGACACGTTAAAAAAGTACAGTTTTTTTAAGTTTATAAACACTTAAACCTATTATGCCAAATTGATCTTTTAAGTTTTGCTAATTTTGTTAAGTATAATGAACTTTTGATTTGCTTGGTTTATTGTATGAGCTTCTAAAAAGGATACCTTTACATATATGGACATATATAGCAGTGTAAAAAAGAAGAACAATTTTATCATTGTGTTGCTATATAATGGTACATATTGTAGTTCATAATCAAAAATATAACATGAGATTTTCTTTATTTAGAGAACTGTTGGAAARGTCTATCCTCCTCCACTAATGAATGATGATGTAGTCCAAAACGGGGACTACTTCAGGACAACCACAGGAACCACCCATGATTATAAGGCCCCGGGTGGGCTTTTGGGGCAGGTGCCCCTACATAAAAAGGCCCCAGGGTCATGGCATGTGAAATATGTAGAAGACAACATCTCAAAGGTACAGAAATTTTGTGAAATTATTATTGAATGAGCATGCAAGCATTGTACATAATAATGTATGTAACTTTATAAAATTTTTTATATATAACGCGCGCTCTGATTGGCTGACGACTGTGTTTATATCAGAGGACAGAGACAAGGCTTACCGGCAAAATTTTCTTTTCGCTCGAAAAATTCTATTTAATTTAAAGAAATATAAAACAGCCGCTTGTGTCACTGTCCTCTGAAAAAAACTTGAGAAGCAAGAGAAACACTCGCTACGTTCGTGTTCCTAAGCTTGCTTCTCTCGTGTTTTTCAAACTCCAAAACGTGTTTATATCAGAGGACAGAGACACGCGCATCATTTTATATTTCTTAAATATAAACTATCTCAGCATTTTCTATAAAGTGATATATTATAGAATCTGTATTCTGTTGTTGCATTGTGCAACTTGTTTTTTAAAGTGTTGCAATAAGCACCTTGCCTGCATGGGAATATTTGCACTGTGTTGCAGCTGTATTCTTGCAGTTTTCATTTATTTCTTGCTGWTGAATGTAACAAATGAGTATTAACAACAGTTTACTAAAGTATAAATCATAATGATCGCACAGGGTATCAGAATCCCTTAAATAACAACTTTCCTTACAATGTCAGAGAGAAGTTATGTACTACAATCTTTGGTTTCTCTGTACATTCTCTGTTACAGTAGCTGTGCAAAATATTCTGTAGTAACTTTCTAATGCCATTTTGAGATGCCCAGTGGCCATGAAGACCTTCTTGAAGAAGTCAAATAAAAATCTACTTTATATATTTTTATATATTTTTTTCAAATACAGCTTAAAGTTAAACCATGGCGTAAACCTCTTTCCATGGGATACCAATGTAGTGAAATGAAAGCAGARTACACAGGAAGACCAGGCGTCAACCTGGACACCAGATATAATGCTGGAATACAACCATTTAGCTTGTCAGATCATCATCGGGAAGGAAATAGCAAGGTATGTAAATAGATTTTTATAATTAACAAATTTCAAAGTGAATTTGGTTGACATTCTAAGAAGTATCAGTTAATACTCTGTG